GCTACTCGGGAGGCTGAGGCAGGAGAATGGCATAAACCCGGGAGGCGGAGCTTGCAGTGCGCTAAGATCCGGCCACTGCACTCCAGCCTGGGCAACAGAGCAAGCCTCCATCTCAAAAAAAAAAAAAAAACCCTGGAAAAAGGCCAAGTGGCAGTGGCTCATCCTTGTTATCCTAGCTATCAAGAGGCTCGAACGCGCAGCGATATACTTGAGGCAGGATTCAACATGCAGGCCTGAGCCCAACAGCCAGAACCGTATCCAAAAAAAAAAAACAGCAAGCCTGTTTGGGGCAATGAAACATGTACAGTCCTAGCTATTCTTGAGTTAGAGAGGATGAGAGAATGGTTAAGCACCAGGAGTAGGCTGGCGCACTATGATCATCACTATATTCACCAGTCTGGGTTGACAGAGCAAAGATCTGTCTCAAACCGAAAAAAAAAATTATTAATTAAATATATACTCAAACACTTAAGCTCACCAACCACCCCCAGTTAACAAAACAGTTATAAGTTACCAAAAAAACAGTAGCACTCTAAGTTACGTAACACTGTTTTAAAAGGTACTTCTCTAGAAAAATTAAAGCTCACAAAGCACAACTGTAATTAAATGTGCCTTCCTTCATATGCCTTTAAACTAAGTTCTCCAACGTACACAGGCACGAATCAGCATTAACAATTAAACAACTCTGCTTAACCAGTTTAATCTATGCTATGTTCAACGATTCCTTTTTTTTTTTTTTTTTTTTTTATTGAGACAGAGTCGCGCTCCTGTCCCCAGGCTCGGAGACGTGGGCACGGATCTCAGCCTCACTGCACAGCCTCCGCCTCCGGAGTTTCGCTCTCCTGCTCAGCCTCCCGAGTACGCCTGGAAATCTCACAAGCGTCCGCCACCTCACCCCACCGGCTAGTTTTTGTAATTTTTATAGAAATGGGGGTTTCCACCGTGTTAGCAGGATGTTCTTGATCTCCTACCTGCCGTGATCCGCCCATACTCGGCTCCCAAAGCTGCCTGGGATTACAGGCTTTGACCACCCGCCCGGCAAGATTCCTCTTTTTTTTTGGCCGGAGTCTCCTCTGGTCCAGGACTGCGATGCAATGCGCATGATCCACAAACTCACTGCATACCCTCCAACCCTCCTCGCGTTCCAGGACTTCTCCCGCCCAGCCGTCCTTGAGTAACTTGGGGCATTACCAGGCACCCACCACCCAAGCGCCTGGGCTAATTTCTATTTTTAGTAGAGAACAGGGTTTTCCCATCGCTGGCGCAGCCAGTGGTTCCGACTCCTGATCTCAAGTGATCACCCTGCCGTGGCCAATCCCAAAGTGCGGGAAATACAGGAATGAGCCCATGGCACCCAGTCTTGCCTCTCCACCTCTGTTCAAAGTCATCCCCTCACTGAGAAAAGATGCTATCTGGTTGCCTTCCTTTGGAAAGGCTTATCAGAAACTCAAAGAATGCAACCACTTGTTCTCACCTACTGGTGACCTGGAAGCTCCTCCCTGCTTCAAGTTGTCCCCCGCCCTTCTGGACTGAACCAATGTACTTCTTGCATATATTGACTGATGTCTCATGTCTCCTTAAAATGTATAAAACCAAGCTGTGCCACCACCTTGGCACCTTCCATCAGGACTTCTGCAGGCTGTGTCACAGGCACACATTCTCAACCTTGGCAAAATAAACTTTCTAATTAACTGGACCCTGTCTCAAATTTTCGGGGTTCACATGTTCATCTGGTTCCTGAGACTGAAATGTGTGGGTTCAAACAGTGAGCAAGTAGAACCAAATGTTTGGCTTAGAAGAAAGTAGATACAGGCATATAAATGAGAAAGCGCTGAGAAATCCTAGTCTTACTTTTTTATTTTTTTTTTGAGATGGAGTTTCACTCTTGTTGCCCATGCCTGGAGTGCAATGGCACTGGCAACTCCGCCGTCCCTGGGTTCAAGCGATTCTCTTGCCTCAAGCCCTCCCTAGTAGTTGGGATTACAGGCACGCACCACCATGCCCAGCTAATTTTTTTGTTATTTTAGTAGAGATGGGGTTTCACCATGTTAGCCAGGATGGTCTTGATCTCCTGACCCTCGTGATCTGCCCTCCTCGGCTCCCAAAAGTGCTGGGATTACAGACCTGAGCCCTCCGAGCTCAGTCCCTTTTTTTTTTTTTTTTTTTTAAAGAACAGAGTAGGCAGGTGAAGTGATCATGGTTCACTGAAGCCTCGACCTCCCAGGCTTCACAGGTTCGTACATCTTAGCCTCAGGAGCAGCTAAGATTACAGGCCCACCCTAACATGCCAGCTTCACTGGCTACTTTTGAAGGATGTTAGCGAACCAATTCATTATGTGAAACCTAGTAAATAATGCAGAGAATTAAGAATTTATCCTCCCTTTTCTATAAAAGGTATACAGTACTTCGAGATAACAATAGTGGGAGGCATGAAAAATTCTCTTTATAAAAATATTCTACTTAATAAAAAGTTAGAGAATTCAAATATCAACAATTTCAGTGCTTACTGAAATGACTGGTAGGTTATGACAATCAAGGGCTGCAAACAAAGACTACTAATCATTTCTGCCTACTTACCTATGAAGTTTTCTTGACAAAAATAAAGCTGAATTTGATCACACCTTTAGACCTAACGACCAGTTTTCAGTAAATTCTGTATTGTTAAACTACGCCACAGAGTAAAATCGAGATTGTGCATAACTCCACATGACAAACTACCAGGTTTCATCAACAAATAAATTACAGGAGAAAACTAAATATGGAGGGGGAAACTACCATAAAACTAGTCACACTGTATGGACAGCATGTGGATCCAGATTGAAATTGTTAAAAAAAAAAAAAAAAGACAACTCTGAAAATTTTAACACTGGCTGGATATTTGAAAGTATTAAGGAATTACTCATTTTCTGTGATAATGGTACTCATGTTTACCTTTTTTTTAAGTCTTTAAGATATACATATTGAACTATTTAACGGTTAAATGATATCTAGGACTGCGGGGATACGATGAAGCAAGATTGACTGTTGAAACTGGATGAGAAAAGGGGTTTATATTATTTTCTCTCTACATATGTGTATATGTGAAGAGGTAAACATGGAAGGAAAGAAAGGAAGGGCAGTCAACCTAACTCTAAGTTTCAAGTAATAAATAAATACTTTATCTTTAAAAGCATTTCAGTATTTACTTTTCTTATTCAAGTCAAAGACTATAAGAAAGAACTAAAAACTAATAATCATGTAAAGAAACAGTTTTTATGGCAAAATCAGTAACACAAAACTGAACACCAAACAAAACCTTCTCAGTACATCAGATAACATCAAAAGAATTAAGGGGAAAAAATGATCAGCTTGTACGAAGTATATTTTAGAAGGAAAACTATCTCACAATTCGGGGACTGGCTAGAGTTTAGACTCACATCACTCAGTGAGTCTCCGAAACTTTAAAACCTAAAGACATCACAAGTAGTAAACTAACAAATCATACCAGCTTGTCCATACCATTGTAAACCACATCGAAACTCTGAAAAGCAGTTTTGATGCCAAAATCATCCACTTCCTTAAAAGACAACTTTACTATTCTAGTTTTCCCCACTGTCAAAATCAAAGGGGTGTATTAAAATTTTAACGTAGGCCAGGCGCGGTGGCTGACGCCTGGAATCCCAGCACTTTGGGAGGCTGAGGCGGAGAGATCACAAGGTCAAGAGATCGAGACCATCCTGACCAACAGGGTGAAACCCCGTCTCTACTAAAAATACAAAAACTAGCTGGGAGTGGTGGCGCGCGCCTGTAGTCCCAGATACTCAGGAGGCTGAGACAGAAGAATCTCTTGAACCCGGGAGGCGGAGGTTGCAGTGAGCAGAGATCGCACCTCTGCACTCCAGCCTGGCAGCAGAGCGAGACTCCGCCTCAAACAAACAAAAAAAAAGTTATCATCACTGGCCCTTGTCCATTCAAGACTCCAAAGTTTACAAATCAACTTTCATACAATTCATACCCTCTGCCTGAAATGCCCTTCTCTCTCTGGTGCCTGCTGAACTCCTACCCATCCACTCCAAGCTTGTCTTCAGTAGGTTCCTCTACTCATAGACACAGTCTACCTATCAGCATTCTATTTCCTATCCCCATTAATATCTCAATTTTTCACACAAAAAAAATCATAACTTACTAGTAATGCATACAGCTATCAGCTATGTTTTTGGTCTTTGGAGATATGATCACTGCTTTTTGGATTCTAGGCATAAATTATGCTCAAAGCAACAACAGTTTCAGGCGAACCAAAATATGTTTTTCAAGGTGGGTATGCATAAAGTGAATGCAAATTACCTCCCAACTATCTTGAGCCATCACAAGAACAAAGATAAAAGTCACTGTAATAGGGAAAGGCCCTCTGACATCTCCCAAAAACGAAAATAAAAGATTAAGAAAAAAGAAAAGAGAAGGAGGGCAAAGGTGACCCACAGCCCTGGGGTTAATCGCTGACAAAGTTCCAGGATTATCTCCTGAGCTTCCGTCGGCAGATACGGCTTTTCCCTTTTGGCAGAAGCCGTCGTTTTTAAGTACGAGAGCCGACAGGCAGTACCCAAACAGGCGTCCGTACACAAACCTTGGAGCCACCAGCGCTGCGGACCGAAGAAACGGTCTCCCAAGCAGGATGCTGACCAGCCTCCGGCCAGGGTCCTCCTCCTCCGCCCCGACCCCTGCAGCCCACCAGCCGGCTAGGAACGACCGGCCAGGGAGAAGCCTCGTCCCCGGGGTCCTATCACGCTGACAGATCGGCGGCGCCCTCGCTCCCAGGCTCGGCCCAGGCCGACGGCCCCCGCGGGGACCCCTCCAAGACGCCCTCGGCGGCGAAGCGGCCTCCCCGCCCCCCGCGCTGCCAGGGCCGCTGCAGGCCTCGCGGTCCCCGCCCGCCGCAACCGCGGCCCAGTTCGCCGCGCCCCAGCCGCTTCCTCAGCCCGAACCGGGCCCCCGCCGCCCCCGCTCCCGCTCGCGAACCTCACCTCAGAAGCGAATCGTGGGCAGCACGCGGGATTCCGGGGTGCCACTGCGGCCACCGCCCGTCCGCTCCGACTCCGGCTCCGCCCCCGTCCCCTGGCCCACAGCCGCGGCCCGCCCGGCCTCTCCGCCCCTCAGCCCCTCCGCTCGCCCCCACCTCCCGAGCTGGGTGCGGCCTGCGGCGCTGCAACCCAACAACGCGCCGCCCCATAGGCCGAGCCGCGCGGCACTGCAGAGCAACGTGCCCTACGATTGGCGGGGCCCATGAGGGGCGGGTCCCCTGCGGGCGGGGCGATTGGACCCACCAGACCCGCCTCGGGGCGACCCCGCCTGGGCCTGCGGAGGCCCGGAACCAGCACGGAGTGCACTAGGCCAGCAGCTTTGGGCGCCACGTCATGGCTTCACGATGGCTCGGTCGGCTGCGGCGAGCCCCAGCCGCGTCCGCTGGACACGGTTTCATTGTGATTGACCTCGGCCGGACGGGCTGTCGGAGTCCAGGAACGCTGCCCCCCGCTGCCCACCCCGCGCACTCCCCCAGCAGACGGGCCCTGCCCCGCGTGGCCCCGCCTTGTGCGGCCCCCAGGCCGAGTTTTGGGGCCCGGGTGGGGTCGAGGCAGTAGGGCCTGTGGGCCCCGATAAGGCTCCACAGAGGACAACTGCCTGGCACCCGGGCCCGGCCTGTGGGTGCTGAGGGGACGAGCGAGCACCAGCACCTCCGCACAACCAGGGAGTGAGCCTGCAGGGCTTTGGCGGGACCAGCCTCAGACCAGCACCTTCCCACACACTGTCCCTCCTGCTGGCGCATCTGACACCCAAAAACACCAGCAAGACAAATGGGCACGGCTGCTTGTCCTCTTGACACCCATAGAAAGCTGAGGTCCAGAGCTGGGCAGTGGCAGAAGAGTGTGGAATCCAGACCTCCCTGCCGAGCAGGAGCCTCTGTGACATTGCCCCACAAGGGTCAGAGATACCGCCTGGATGGGAGTCAGCGACCCTTGTTCTAACCATTTCTTTTGGACGTTGGCTTTTCCAAGATGACTTTTCTGACAAGATCACAATTCTGTCTCATTCACTTCTGCTTCCCATCGTTAATCACTAGGGAAACAAATCAAAACCATTGTGGGATACCACTTAACATTCATTAGGATGGCAGTTGAGGCTTCAGCCTAAAATCCCAGCACTTAGGGAGGCAGACAGGAGGATAGCCTGAGCCCAGGAGTTGGCAGACTTGACTATGTTACCTGGGGGTCCTTGCTCCCAGAGGTCCCAAGATGGTGGTGGACCACTTCCAAGATGGTGGTGTGTCCGGAATTGGTGGGTTCTTGGTCTCGCTGACTTCAAGAATGAAGCCACGGACCCTCGCAGTGAGTGTCACGGTTCTTAAAGATGGTGTGTCCGGTGTCTGTTCCTTCAGATGTTCAGATGTGTCCGCAGTTTCTTCCTTCTAGTGGGTTCGTAGTCTCACTGACTTCAGGAGTGAAGCTGCAGACCTTTGCGGTGAGTGTCACAGCTCTTAAAGGTGGCACATCTGGAGTTGTCCGTTCCTTCTGGTGGGTTCCTGGTCTCGCTGGCTTTAGGAGTGAAGCTGCAAACCTTCGCAGTATTACAGCTCATAAAGGTGGCATGGACACAAAGAGTGAGCAGCAGCAAGATTTATTGCAAAGGGCAAAAAAACAAAGCTTCCACAACATGGAAGGGGACCTGAGGGGGGGTTGCCACTGCTGGCCCGGGCATCCTGCTTTTATTCCCTTATCTGACCCCACCCACATCCTGCTGATTGCTCCATTTTACAGAAAGCTGATCAGTCTATTTTACAGAGAGCTGATTGGTCCATTTTACAGAGAGCTGTTGGTCCGTTTTACAGAGAGTTGATTGGTCCATTTTGACAGAGTGCTGATTGGTGCGTTTACAATCCCTGAGCTAGACACGGAGTGCTGATTGGTGTGATTACAGTCCTTTAGCTAGACACAGAGTGCTAGACAGAAAGGCTCTCCAAGTCCCCACTAGGTTAGCTAGACACAGAGTACTGATTGGTGTATTTACAAACCTTGAGCTAGACACAGAGTACTGATTGATGTATTTACAAACCCTGAGCTAGACACAGAGTGCTGATTGGTGCGTTTGCAATCCTTTAGCTAGACACAGAGAGCTAGACAGAAAAGTTCTCCAAGTACCCCCCCCCAGGTTAGCTAGTTACAGAGTACTGATTGGTGTATTTACAAACCTTGAGCTAGACACAGGGTGCTGATTGGTGTATTTACAATCCCTGAGCTAGACATAAAGGTTCTCCAAGTCCCCACTAGACTCAGGAGCCCAGCTGGCTTCACCTAGTGGATCCTGCACCTGGGCTGCAGGTGGAGCTGCCCACCAGTCCCGTGCCGTGTGCCCGCACTTCTCAGCCCTTGGGAGGTTGATGGGACCAGGCCCGTGGCACAGGGGGCGGCACTCGTTGGGGAGGCTCTGGCCGCATAGGAGCCCACGGTGGGGATGGGGAGGCCTGGGCATGGCGGGCTGCAGGTCCCGAGCCCTGACCTGCGGGGAGGCAGCTGAGGCCCTGCAAGAATTCGAGCACAGTGCCAGTGGGCTGGCACTGCTGGGGGGTGTGGCACACCCTCTGCAGCTGCTGGCCTGGGTGCTAAACCCCTCACTGCCTGGGGCCGGCAGCACTGGCCAGTCGCTCCAAGTGCAGGGCCCACCGGGCCCACCGAGCCCTCGTCCACCCAGAACTCATGCTGGCCTACACCATGCACAACCCCAGTTCCTGGCTGCACCTCTCCCTCCACACCTCCCTGCAAGCAGAGGGAGCCGGCTCCGGCCTTGGCCAGCCCAGAGAGGGGCTCCCACAGTGCCATGGTGGGCTGAAGGGCTCCTCAAGTGCCACCAGAGTGGATGCCAAGGCCAAGGAGGTGCCGAGAGCGAGGGCTTTAGCATGTTGTCACCTCTCAGTAGCAAGCCTCATGTTCTCTGACCTGGGGTTCTTGGCCTCACAGATTCCAAGGAATGGAATCTTGGGCCATGTGGTGAGTGTTATCGCTCTATTAGAAGCCATGGGTCACAGAAGAGAACCGTGAACCCAGTGACTAGTGTTCAGCTCGATTAGGAAGAACCCAGGCACTTAGCCATGCAGGAACAATGGCAAACCTTTAGCCCGATTGGGAGTGGCAAGGGGTGCCTTGCTGGATCAGGAGCACAGCGGACACCCTGCTGGATCCAGAGGGATGGAAGTCAGCGGTGGGTCTGCGATGGCGGCAAACAGCAGTGGTGGACGGCGAGCAAAAGCTCAGCTCAAACCGTAACAAAACACGGACCAGAAGAGTGCAGTTGCAAGATTTAATAGAGTGAAATAGAGTGAAGACAGACCTCCCATATAAGGGGAGGGGACCCAAAGAGGGTTGCCATTGCTGGCTCGAATGCCTGGGTTTATATCCTGATCCTTGTCCCTCCCGCTGTGCTCTCAGGCAATAGATGATTGGCTATTTACCTCCTGTTTTTGCCTAATTAGCATTTTAGTGAGCTCTCTGATTGGTAGGATGTGAGCTAAGTTGCAAGCCCTGTGTTTAATGGTGGATGTGGTCACCTTCCCAGCTAGGCTTAGGGATTCTTAGTTGGCCTAGGAAATCCAGCTAGTCCTGTCTCTCAGTCCCCCTTCTCGACAGGAAAACTCAAGTGCTGTTGGGGAGGTTGGCCAACGACCGTTCTAACTGCTTCCTGCTGAATTGGGGTGTAGTAGGGATTGTGCAGTTGAGATTTCCTCTGGAGGGGTGCCTTCGATGTCATTAACATCGGAGCACGGGCTAGTAGGCTGGTCCAGGGGTCCGCGGTAGATCTTAGTCATGGACTGCATCTGGGTCTCCATTTGAGGAACTATTTGTAGTTCTACAGCTTCAATTCCGGAAGAGACAAATTTAACAAGGAGGTTAAAGATACAGGGATTTAAATGTATGGCCTGCAGTGCAGGGGATTATTTCTTTGGTACACTTTACAGGCCCCCACTATCTGCTTGATACTTTTGAAAAGGCCTGGTCCAGTAAATGATTTGGCCATCTGAAGGGTGCTATCAATGCCTAAGTCAAAGTTTTGGTGAAGGGTTTTAAGTAATTTCCATAGGTTAGCTGCAGGCAAAGTATTTTTCCTTCTTCGATGGCTAGCCATCCTGAGGGGAGGAAACTATGTCCTCATGAGGTTCCCTATTCTATTTCTTTGTCTGAGTACTGGGGCTTGGGTTAGGGCCTTCTTTAGGGCCCAGAAAGCCGCTTCTGCTTCAGGTGTCCATGTTATTAAATGGGTATTGGCTTTCTAAGTTTCCTTAATTAGCGTATATAATGGTCTGGCTATTTCACCATACCTGGGAATCCATATTCAGCAGAAACCTGTTATGCCAAGGAACCTTAGTTGCTTTAGGGTTTTGGGATGAGGATAAGCCATATAGGCTGGATATGTTCCTCACTGAGGGCCGTGGTGCCTTTGGATAATTTTAGCCCTAAGTATTTAACCTGCTGTGAGCAGAGCTGAGCCTTTGGTTTGGAAACCTTGTAGCCACAGGTAGTGAGGAAATTTAAGAGCGCCTGGGTGGCTTGATGGCACAAGGTTTCTGAACAGGTAGCTAAAAGTAAATCATCCACGTACCGAAGGACAAGAGTGTTCAGGTATGAGAACTGGCTCAAGTCTTGGGCTAATGCCTGGCCAAATAGATGGGGGCTATCCCTGAACCCTTGGACTAAAACAGTCCAGGTGAGTTGAGACACTGGGTATGAAGGATCTTCAAAGGCAAACAAGAATTGAGAGTCAGGATGTACAGGGATGCAGAAAAAGGCATCCTTAAGGTCCAGGACTGTAAACCACTCTGCTTCCTCTGGTATTTGGGAAAGCAGAGTATAAGGGTTAGGCACAGCTGGGTATAGAGGAACAGCCTCATTGATAATCCTGAGATCTTACACTAACCTCTACTGTCTGTTGGGTTTCTGTACTCCTAAAATTGGAGTATTGCAGGGGCTACTGCATGGTTTTACTAGGCCTTGGGCTTTTAGATCCTTAACAATCCTTTGGAGTCCTTTTTGGGCCTCGGGTCTGAGGGGGTACTGTCTTTGGTAGGGAAACGAGGCGGAATCCTTGAGTTTAACTTGAGCAGGAAGGGCATTTTTTGCTCATCCATATTGTCCTTCTGTTGCCCAGACTTCAGGATTAATTCCTTCCTCAAGCAGGGGACAACAAACGGGTGTTCCTTCTCCTAT